TATGCTACCTCCTGGTATGACCTGTCCCATTTATTGTAGATTACATGTCAAAATTAACTATGACACTCTTCACAAAATCCTGGGCTGTGTAGACTGCAAAACTGTTGGCATCTTTAGGCTTTTAATCAACTAACTCCACTGGAAAGCTGCCTCTGCAGCCTGCAGAATTCTCCATGTTCACAATGTATTTTCTTTTGTATAACAACCAAAACTGGCAACAACATTTAAGGGGCGCTATCACAAGGGTTTGGAACTGTTAAAACCAAACACCTAGCAAATGCAGCCAAGAGAATGGTATTCTTTTGAGATGCTGGGTTTGGGACTATCCTGTCTACGGAGCAGAAAACAAACAAAGCTCCTGCACTGCAGATACCAATCAACTTTCTCACTCTCTGCCATTTTCAGATGTGTAGACTTTTACTAATTCTTTTCACTGTATATGGTCACATCTAAAACAACTTCAGAAGTTAACTAAGGAAGTACTTTACAACATTCATGGTGATATTTAAGAATTCCTTATGACTTACCTGAGACTGATCCTGAGATGGAGGTGTGAGCTGAGATAAGTCTGCTGCAGGAACTGACAGAACATTGTTTGGGTAATCCAGCAAGTAAGAAACAACATTTGTATGTCCTCCTTTGGCGGCTTCAATGAGCATAGTTGAGCCATCCTGGAGGGAGATTTTGGAAATAAAAAGCCAGAAGATGAATTTTGCTACCCAGCATAAAAATATGAGTTAGACCATTTAAAATTGCAGATTTAGTAATCCATTAAATAACTATGTGGTTCCTTCAGTCCCTATGATAAATACATTAAGTTAGTACCTTCAGCCGATGAGTAGGATCTGCACCGTGAGCAAGAAGGAGCTCAACGACTGCCAGGTGACCTCCTGCACACGCCAGTGACACCACCGTGTGGTCGTTATTAGCTGTGGCCCTGTTAACATTGGCACCTATAAAAAGAAGGTCTCAGAATTAAACACAATAAATGTTTTTAAAAGGAAGTGTCAACAAGTATTTTCTGGAACAGAGACAAGCTCTTCTCATTGTCCCATTACACACACTTCCAAGGTAAAACCAAGGGATTCTGAATAACTGATGGCTTCTATGCATCACCCTCCTCAGCGTGTAAAGACAAGGACAGTAAGAGTGGGCCTCCTGAGTGGTAAGAGAGAGGGAACACCTCTGGTATACGAAGCATAGCTTTTAATTTGTCATTCTAAGCCCTCATCAGCATCACTACATGATGCAGTTCTTATTGTTTCAGACGGCACTTGAGGACGTGTTTTTTCTCAAGGAGGGAGTGTTTTTTGTAAGAAGCTGAAAATATTTGCTGTGCTTCAAATCTATTGATTAGTCTATAGATCAGACTAGGAAAGCTACTACCAAAATACTTTGTGATTCACTGTAACATGAACTGAATCAAATTCAACAAACCCTGAATGGTTCGGCAAATGCTCACATACACATAACCAGAGTCATTTTGGAAAAGGATCACAAACATACACAACTGAAAAATGGCATTTTTAAGTTTTTAATTAGTTATTTAAAGTAGTATTTTACCTTTGCTAATAAGGAACTGCACGGTGCACAGATGACCGGCTCGTGCTGCCTTCATTAGTGGGGTTCTCCCACCTTCGGATTCATGCTCCTGTTATAAAGAAGTAACAGATCAATAAATGGGCAAAACTTATACCACTGTTCCAGCTTTTGAACCACCTGGTGATGGAACCGGTCTCAGAATTACCTGTCTCAGTAGAAGACCTATCTTATAAGCTGACTGGAATCAATTTTCATGTTACCTTAAATACTGAATCACACTGTCAAAAAGCATTAAGACCACTTCCATACTGTTATCACATAAGGAAGTTTCTTTGCTTACAGACCCCTTTTCATTTTAGTGTTCAAAGGCGTAACATACTTGAGAACAGCAACATCTTGTTTCCTCCTCGAAAAGGAGAACTATTTAACACAAACATCATCCAGCATCAAGAAGTCCACAAATAGCTATGGATTGATGTACAGCAGTTCTGAAACTGTCACATGCTGTACACCAGACCTTAAAAACTGCAGCAGTATCTGAAGTGCAAGCAACAGTTTTAAATCACACTGAAGAGGATCAGCAATAAAAATGAGACAAATCACTGCAGGTCACAGTCTCTGAACAAGAGGGTTGGAGAATAAAGCAGAAAGATGACAAAAGGGTGATACAAACCAACAAAAAAAGGAGTAACAAGAACCATTTTCTAATTTAAAAGGTTTCTGAATACTGGAACAATGGGTTTGAATACAACTGTATTAGAGAAGCTACAGAACAAGGAAGCTTGCTTGCTCTGTAGCCATGTTTAATACCACAAGGAATGCTGACTAATGTGCACATCAACCCTCCCTCAGCAGCAAGGGGAGGAAACAGCACCTTCCTGTGAGTGTTATACTGGTGATCTGAATATCCAGTCTGATCAAATGCACCAGGACCAGGGTTTGGGGGTTTTTTTCCATTAAGTATCTGGGAAGCCAAGCTCTAAGTTCACTATTTACTTCTGGAATTGCATGTGTTCTGACAGTGAAAGTTAACATTCAGTACCGACAGTGGATGACACGGTTATTTACAAATATAAAAGGACAAGAATAGACTTGGCAGAACAAATCAACTCCTTCCCATAATTTCAGTATTCCTGAAAACTCTGCAGATGTCCTCTGACATATGGTTTGCTTCAGTTGCAAGCTGCACCTTAGATTAGCTTTCTGTTCATACACTCGAGAAAAATCTCGACTGCACCTTCTATTGGAGCTTGATCCACTGCAGAAAACACAACCCAATCTTTGCTATGAGGGAGGTTACATGGCTCCTCTCCTATGTGCTCTGGAAAGAGCAGAAATGCTCTGCGCCTGTGCCTTCAGAACGACTTTGTGTTGTTGTACCCTGCTTTAACGTGTCTAAACCTCATAGAACTGCACCATTTCTTTGCTAACTTGGTACAGCAACGTGTTAGTGCAGGCAGGCAGGAAGGAAAACCTTCCAGACTTACTGCTGAAGTCACCTTTTATGTTTTAAAATTAGTAGATTCCACTCCCAGGAAAATGATGGTTTAGCTGCCGACACCTGCATGCTTTTGGATTGTCTGCATGTCAGAGATACTTGCAGGACATGTCAAGCTCATTAGGTTAGTATGTGGCCTCATGACATGCAAGAATTAGCAGCATGCCCTTGAACTCTGGTGCTTGCTATTTGGTATAGTTTGTCCTTCCTCAGCCACTGCCAATAGGTCGTAGAAAGTCAGATGCTGCTGTTTGCCTGATGCACAGTAAACCCCTGGTACTGCTGGCACATCACTTACAAAGCAGCTATGGATGCAAAGAACCACTGACCACCCCTTTACTCTGAGGAGGACCAGAACGTTACTGCCCACACAATTATTCAATACACATTTCTAAATCATCACTGATGCAACAGCAAAGATGGCAAGAAGCAAAATTTATTTGAGGTTACAGCTTAGCTATATTCAAGACAGTGAAAAGCCATCCAAATGTAGCGTTTCAGATAACTAGCAGTAAGATATTATTTGCAACATTCTCTATTCCTAGCAGACTTCACTGTAAGTCTTAAACATGGATGTCAGGAGGCTCCTCATTGAAATGCAAGGCAGTTACCCTGCCCAGTTTAACCAACTGTCACTTCATCAAGCAGGCAGAACTTGATCCTCAACTATTATACACTTCAAACACTTGCAGTACCATACACATCATCAGTCCAGCTAAACTAGACCATTTGTGTGCCCACCTGCTGCAGATCTGCGAAAGTTACTGCATTTTGATGGAGTTTTTAACATCAAAGATAGAATTAATTTAATCTTAAAATAAAACATGCATTTCTATGACTTCAGCACTCTATTTAGGCCTGACAAAGGCTAACAGAGAGCATCAACTCGAGCTTTAAAGGAAAGCATCTAGACCCAGCCAAACTAAGAAGCTGATCCAGTGCAATGCAGTGCTTCTGTTTAACTCACACCCTTTCCTTTACCTGGAATGGCCATAAATTTCAAAGATTTTATTTTTTTTTTTTAGCTGTATTAGATAATCAAAATCGGGACAGAGAACATGAAAACTGTTAAAAGCATCCCCCAGCACTTTCCAATGTGCTACTTCCTTGTATCAATATGAAGTACATGCAAATGCTTTTTTTCTAAGAACAGAACTAACAAGGAGTGCTCATCTCCAAAGACAACTTCCCCAGCTCTCTGCACTGCAGGACTCATCAGTGTTCTCTCTCCACTGCTCCAGCCCTGAGAAACACTGCAGTTAGTATGATCAGAAAGAGATACGAAGAACATCTATGCCACCATTCTCTAAACACGTATGTGTTCTCCTGTTAATTCTGCTTGGAAGAATGCCTGAGAAGAATTTTCCATAGGTTTAGGTACCAGGAAGGAAGGGGAAAGTGAGAGTATTACCCACATCAGGTAAGAGTTTACATCATCTGCATCTTTTCCACTGGGACTCAAAGAGGAGATGAGAATCCAGTCAGTAATAACAATTATTTCCTTTCTAGCTAAACCAGTATTTCAGAGAGCAAAGCAAAAGCAGCGTCATCAGAACCTTGTATTTTTTTATCCTTGATTTTGAGTTCTCTGGTTTAGGCGATTCCAAGATCACCTACATAAGGGCTTCCGCTCCCCCCAGTACTATTCTCCCTGGTTCACAAGGATTCATGGTTGGCAAGTATTATTCCCTAGTATATTTTTTTCAAGTCCTTTTCCAATGTCATATGTTATTTTAATGTAAAGGTCCAACTGGTCTCTTCAGCTCCTAGAAAGCCTCTCACTCATGACAATGGTGAATATTTAACAGAAATCTAAATATTGTTCTAAGCAAAACGATTTAGATGAAGTTTTTGATGCAAGACAACAGCCAAACAACACATTTCCTATCACTGTGCCACTTTGCTGATTTTCCAGATTGAATCCCTATCAAAAGATATAGGATTCCAACAGTCACCAATCTAATTGTCCCAAATAACCTTCCGGAGATATGTAGCAAAGCAATATTCCAGAAGCACCTAAAAACTCAACTAGGCCTCTAGTTTAAAGTAAATACATGAAAAGGAAAGACCTTACAGGAAGCTGGATATGTAACAACAGATTTAACACAGCTACTTGTGCTAACAGACTCAATCAGATCACTTGCTGCACTGGTGAAGGCTGAGATACTATTGTGTCAACAGGGGTTTTAGAGAACCCAGCAGCAGGGAAAACACAGCACACAGATGCCATGTCTGGTCTGCGCAGGGAGGCTTTGTGTTTTTGAAGAGATTTAGATGCCTTAAAGCCATGCTTATTGTTAGCATGTATCCTGAGGCTGCAGCTTACAAGCATCAAAGGCCAACCTCACCTGATGCTTGCCCGGCTCTATGCCCTCCAAAATAGTCTTCTTTAAGTCCTCCTGCTTGTCCTGCGGAAGGAAAAAGAACAACTCACGGCTCTCGTTCTACAAATAAATGTTGTTCTTGGCCATGAAGACCTGGAATGTGAACTTAAATGGACTCGATCCACCAGCTAAAGCCTCTGTTTTGCTGGAATTAGGCAAGCAAGCACAAAGGTAAGACCAAGCAACGCAGCTCTACTGGTTGTGACTCCTACCGTAAGCCATTGGGATTCATGATGAAGGTTACATACAGCATCTCACTAAATACAAGATGACTTTTTGCTCTTTAGTGGCAAAAGAGAGAATTTCATTGTACTTCTTACCATCCAGAGGCTACAACACAACATCCAAAAGGTGTTAATTACAAAAATTAGCTTCACATGTGCTACAACTTTTTGCTTTATTTATAGCAGACTGAAGGCCAAGTCTAAAAAGACCTGGAATCCCTGACCTTTCCCAATGGTTCAAGAAACAGCAAGGAAAAACGTGACAGCTTCTCAGCCCCCTCACTGTCACAACACCATAGCTGTCTCCAGCATGGTTCCATTCAAATCCATAAAGCATTGGCTATTTTTGTAGATGTTTAAATGCTGCCTTACGCACACTGCATCAAACATGAGGTGTGTCATACACAGAAAGTGAGTTTCTAAGTAAGGAGCTACATCAATGTGACGGATGTTATCAGCTGAAGGCGAAGCCCCCATCCTAGGGAAGAACCAAGAGGCAATTTGGCATGCCTGTATTTTCATTTTTATTTATCTGGTTTTGCAACTGGAGTTCCATGGATGCCAGGGAGCCAGTTTTAATGTTTAAGGAAAGCCACATGTGGAATTTTAACTAGTACAAAGAGCTCTGGGGAGAGCTTAATAGTGTAAAATGAAAAGAATGCAAGGATGAAGCAGCCCTTGGGTTCTCTTCCATCTCTCAAGTTCAGTATAAAAGCACCCACATATTTTGTAGCAGAAAGGTAAACTCCATCATAGATCAACTCTCCTGCGCAGCAGAGTCATGCACAGCTGCAAGGCAGGCCAGATCACGAAGTCCCAATTCAAAACTGTTTTCTGTGCTTCCCAGCTGAGAAAAGCTGGCACCTTCTCACTGCCCAAAAAAGAAGAATCTCTTGTTTTCAGCTACACTGGAACAGGCAAAGATGTAACTACCTTGTCAAGAGCAGTCTCTCAAAAAGGAATCTCCAGTATGTAGTGCTTCATCCAGGTTTGGTTCTACATT